TGTCTTGCAGTAATGTCTAGTCTGAATCTTCTTTCTGCCACCTTTCTCCATTTGGTTAGAACAACCACAATCTCTGGTTAATTTAAGCTTTAGTGGGTGTTTTGGGATCTAGAATAGCTTGCTAACTGGGAGCAGTTTGCATAATTCTACTCCAAGGGAGCAAGGTTTTGATTTCTGCTACCTTAACTGCACTAGGTGATGTAAAAATCACCACATAGACCTTTTCATTTGAGTTGCAAAGTTCCTCATTACCAATCTTTAACCCACACCTCATCCCCTTGCTTAAACAAACAAATGGGGGTCAGGTGTGTGTGTGTGTCCTGAACTCATTAAACATTTGCCATAACTATTGCAGCATTTTCCCAAAGCAACCATTTCCTGTCTTTTACCTGGGCCCTTCTCATGCTATTCCCCTTTATGACCTTGGGAATGAAGGAGGAGCCTCTCATACAACATTGCAAACGAAAACAGTTCAATGGTTCTGGTGGGAATGCATCTAATATGTACCACTGTTACAACTATGGCTTCAAAGTGTACATTTACACAATGCTGAGTACCTGGGGGATGGCATTGCCCCTGACACTGAGTGTTTTTGGCACAGGTATGACACCTCCTAGCTGAAGCTACTATTGTCAAGAAAGTGAAGACAATCTATGTTTAACTGTCTTTCTAAGAGATTAGCTAGTGCCATTTTCCTGAAATGACTCATGAGTTCCTTTTACTACTTTTCATGCCATGGTTCTGGGGACAATTATTCTTTATCTGGAAAAGCTCACCAACCAATAGAGTTAGCTAAGTCTATTGCACCATTGTCCTGGGCCCATTGCTGTTCTTCTTTATTATAGGTAGGCTGCACACTGGGATTGGGCAAAGGAAGTAGGATAGCCACCTGGAGAGACATGGCATCTGCTTCTTGGCATCTGCATCTGTCCTCTGGTTTCTTTGGCTAAAGGATCCTACCTTGCCCTGTACATTACAACCACCTGTTTTGGGACCCATACAGCTTCTAAGAAATGCAATATCTTTTTCTGAATGTTTGACTGGTTGGCATGCTGCAGTTAAAAGTCCTCTTTCTTTGTAAAGTGCACTATGGACATGTAGTACTGAAAGTACATGCTTTGTATCAGTGTATTTAATAAGCTGAACTTGCAATGGAACATCAGTCAAGTCAGGACAACTGGTATATTGTGTCCATTTCTCAATACAGCTATGATGTTCCTTTTGCAGGAGGGTAGCAAGTTTAAAAGCAGTGCATTGCTGAACCTTTAAGNGTATTTAATAAGCTGAACTCCTTGCAATGGAACATCAGTCAAGTCAGGACAACTGGTATATATTATGTCCATTTTTCAATACAGCTATGATGTTCCTTTTGCAGGAGGGTAGCAAGTTTAAACCATTGCATTGCTGAACCTTTAATGTAAGGATTCACAACAGTGCCTGATGTTTTAGCATTCTTGAGGTGCTAAGCAATCGGTTCCTTTGAGTTCTAACAGTCTATGGTTTGAGTTAAATGCCTGTTGCTACATCTTCCTTCTCAGCAACATAACAAGTGAAGGATTTTGTTACTTAGGCAGGCATAAAGCAGACTGTCCTCAGCACAGACTTTTATTTGCTGAAAGGCAGCATTTTGCTTTTGTGTCCACTAGAAGGGCTCTCTTTCGCCCCCCTTTGTAACTTGACACAAGAATTTGCCAATTACTTCATAGAGATCCAAATTTTACAGAATCTTGTTGCACCTATGYACTTGCATTGGACTTGCTTCCTTGTATTGGGGACTAAGATCTGGCAGATGGCTTGCTTTCAGTCCTATGGCCATCTTTTATATGGAATCCTAAGTATTTGACTTCAGTTTTTGCACGGCTGGGTCTAGGAATTGGAGTGTTTCCTTCAGACTGACTGACAGGCTCCTGGAATCGGCTGTACTATTTCCGGAGATATGCATTTGGCTATTCCGGGGGGCTTGTTTTCTGCCCATACCTCAGGAGTTTCAAACTTTTCTCCTATTCATTTTTCTCTGAGCCTTTTTAAACTACTAGCAGCCTCCACCATGGGACAGGTGAGGTGCAAAAGGCTTGTTATTTTCTAAAGCCATCTTAGCAAATTCATTTTCTTCAAAGAATAATATTAGACTTTGTTTGCATGGCAAGTCACTTCCCAGCAATTGAACTGGGCAGTTAGGCATATATAGAAAACTGATGGTAACTTCTTTTGTTGCTAGCTGACGTTTTATTCCTCTTTCTTTCTTTCTTTCTTTCTTTCTTTCTTTCTTTCTTTTCTTTCTTTGGAAAGGAGGTAGGCATTGATCTTCAATGGCTCCCATGAGCTTTATGGCTTTCTGGGTTACGGTGCCACTGGTATCACTGATTTCTTCTGCTCTTATGTCTACCAAAAATGTTTTCTGGGATCCTACTATTTCCTTGAATAGGGATCCTAAGGTTAGAACTCTTGACTGACTTGAGTCTTCTGCCTTCTTCATTGGGGGCATTTGGCCAATCCAATGATTTTTTTTTCCTAAGCTGCTTCTGTGACTCTTGATAGAAGGGCAGCTCTCTGGGTCTTCCTATCTGCCCCTGGTAGCCTTTTTCTCTTCCACTCATCATCTGGGAAGTTTCTCATTCAATGTCCATGATTCTTACAGTTCAGACATTGATTCGGCTCAAGAAGCTGTCCTCTTTTCTGGCTCATACTTCACCCTCTGCTTCGCCCTCTTTTCCATTGCCTTAATGCRGCTGATAAGCAAATGGCTTGAGCCTTCATTTGTCACTGCTTATCTMCTCCTTTTGATKTCTATTCACAACCACTCAGCTAGCTACATCTGTTAGAAARGAGTGGCTGTGGACTCAGGCGGCATAGAATCTSGMTCATCTATATCATCTGATGGGGAAAGATTCGGGTATCTTCTATGTAGSGACACTGTGGTGTTGGAGGGCTATACTGGCTTCTTGCTGCTGCTGCTGGCRYGAGGGCTGGATTTGCAGGACTTCTGCGGKTCTCCCATCATCTCAGTAGAATAGGGAGGTTAGGCATTTATTCCTCAACAGAGTTGGGGCAGGATAGGAGATTTGATCTCATTTATTCCTGCCCAAAATCTAGTTTTTCCAAACTTTTCTCCAAATCTGCTAACATGTACCCTAGCAGGGATTTTAAGCTTGCTTCTGAATGATCATCACATGTTTTAGACAGACAGACAACTAATACACAAAGGAGGGAAAAGGTATGTGGGACCTAACCACACAGCATCTGAACTCTTTCATACAACATACAACATTGATTCAGTCATACAGACAATCAATCATACAACAATGTACCTAGGCTTTTCCCAACCTTTTCCTTTCTCTCTCTCTCTCTCTCTAGGCAGTCGGTTTCCCTTTCTGGCACACCCAAAAATCCCAAAAAGTCTACTCGGGACTGCCTTTTTTCCAGGTTAATTACTCCTGGGTTGGTCACTAGCAAACACAGCTATGACCTGTCCTGACGTCTGCACTCTTCTAAATGTTCTTTTTTCACATTCATACTTGCCTGTCCGTCGTTTTCAGCCTCCTCTGGTGAAAGGAAAAAACCCCGTCAGGAGCAGCCGCCCTGCTCCAAGCTTCAAGTGATCCCTGGCATCAAACAGAGACACCCCAGCTGGTAGGGTTCAGTCGTTGGTTGGATGCCGGCTTGGCTGACTCCTGAAGGCGTTCCCGATCTCAAAATCTCTCTCTTGGCTTCTCTCTCCCTTGACCTCCTTCAAATCTCTTGCCTGCATCTCTCCTGGCTGGCTCGCCAAAATGAAATGGCAGGGAAATAGGTTTTGAGGAAAGGAGAGATAATTACCAAGAGACATCCTTTCTGGAGATCAGAAAAGAACGACTTTATTTCCAGCTGGCGACTCTGGTGTGGACTCATGTCCCAAAAGTAAAACCAGAGCCCCGATCAAGGTGCGGACTGGCCTTTTATAAGTTTCAGACTCAAGTAGACAAAGAACATACTACAACATATATCATCGTCATCCCTACGTCATCCTGGGCATCATAAGAATATCAGGTTCCCCCTCCAACATGCAAAAAGCATGTCTCTGTGTCTTGCTGAAACCAGAGCAAGCATGGAGTATCCCTCCTCCCTCTTGCTTACGAGTCATCCATCAAAGGGGCCCTCTGACCTGTCAGAGGTGCTTCTTCGTCCTAGCACGGGCTTCTCCAACGGGCTTATCTCTCTTCTGGAATGCATGCCCCCCTTCCTCTTCAGCCCCTTTTGGAGACAAGCCGCTTGCTTGCCTGTCAGCTACACAGAGGGAACTAGATTTTCCTATACATTTAAAGTACATATGATTTTTATGCATAAATCAATCAATAAATATCTATATTTTCCCAATATCTCCTCATCACCCCAAACCCTACATTCAAATGAATACAGGAAAAATAGGAGGAGACATTGCTTAGTGTCCTATATTCAGAAATGATTTCTGCCTTTTAATATAGGAGGCTTCTTTAGACCAGGGTCAGCTCTACCAGGGTTGGATCCACCAAACTAGTTTATAGCCTCTGATGTGATATAGGGTATGATTTTATTGCCAATTTTGAAAAACAAAATGTGACTGACACACATTGCTTTTAGGAAAGTAAATGGGGACAGATCAATGCTTTGTCTTCTACTGCAGGCAGCATAATGCTTTGGGGTAACCTTGCTTTAGTTTGTGTGAATTCAGATTGCTGCTTATTATCTCCATAGATTAAAGACAATCTCCATTGTAAAAGGTCCCAGAGGTCTAAGAAGCCCTCTGAACAGGTGACTTCCATGATGGACTCCAGAAGAAATAGTATAGTCTTAAATGGCCAGAAAACACAAGCAGAAAATAGCCCTGCTTTTGTGGATACTGGAAGAAAGGTTTGTTCTCTTAACAAACTGCCTACCTGACACTTTTTCTACCTATGCTATCTATACCTATACATGATGGGGTTGGCAGGAGAGTTAAGTACCAGTTGGTGATTCAACCTGATCCACTTGGACTTTTTCCTCTCGTCTTGGTTATGATGGCTACTTTGCGTAAATGGCACAAAGCGTGCCAACAGCTGGGGAATTTTGATCACTAAATTGCCCTATTTAACTGCATGGGAGTTAAATGGATTATTTGCAGTGTGATATGTTTAAGCTAAACAACACAGTTAGACAGGAAGACTTGAATTTTGATTTAATATTAAAGTGGGAAAAGGACACAATACTCTCCAAGCATGTAGTATCAGAACTCTTCTGCCAGTTTTTGTAGGGGATGACACTTTTTACAGAAATGTATATGCTAATAAATTTATATTTGATTGTTGCTAGATCTCCCCTCTAAAATCAATACTGTCCAGAAAGTCATCATTATGTAATGAAAGCCAGGAGGATGTGGAAGTGAAAGAAAAAATAGAGTATCCAGATGGAAAGGTAACAGATTTTAGATGAGTATAAAAATTAGGTAATATTTATCGTGTCATCCGCAACCAGAACATTGTATTACATTTCTAACAGAACAAAACAAACAAACAAATTTTAAAAAACCACAAATTTTGCAAACTTGGTAGCTGATTAAATGTCCTTTGACCAGTATCTGGCCACTTGGAGTGCCTCTGGTGTTGCTGCAAGAAGGTAATGGGCTATACTGAATGACAAATGAACTGAAAATTTGGATGTCAGTATATGTAATTTCTTTGGAATGATGGAAATACATTCCTGAAGCAAATTTAAGAAATTAGGAATGGAGTATAGCATTACATTCTTCCCTCTCATCTTCACCACATTTTACCCATCCACCTTAACCGCTGTTAAAACAGGCCTTAAGTGCAGTTAAAATTGTACAAAATTGTGTCACTGGGAAATTAAATTAGGATTTGAAGCTGATTAATAGACCTTTCCACAAAATGAACTGGACTAATGCCCTTGCCAATTAATTGTTTAACTCTTATCTGGGTGTGATGTGTGTATCTCTTTAAATCTTGGTTGCCTATCTCTTCTCTGCTTCAAATGCCTTCAACATTGCCATCTGTATTTCTCAACTTAACACTCAAAATATGTATTTTTTCTGGGTCAATGCAGATTTTAAGTCCTTTACCATATATACATACATACATACATACATATATATATATATATATATATATATGCATGTTATTATGTGTATAGTATGTAGTTAGCTTTAGGATGCATTAGAGAAGCCCGATGCCTACAAGTCACGCAGGGAAGCTAGTGTTTGTACACAGTCTTAATGCACAAGGTTGCCCTAAGTGCTAACAAGACAGCTGGATTCATGTGGCACGTGCCTACATTGCCAAAAATGTTCACCAGGGCTGCACTTTCCATCTGCTCATTTAGAGTCTTGGATGATTTCCCAGGAGCTCTCTGCATGAAACAAAGCTAACTTCCTGTGGAGCTGGCATGCATGTGACAAGGGTCACGTTATGGCAAAATACAACTGCTGCAAACATATGTCTCCGCCATATGGTAATTCATCAAAGTGCAGTTTGCAACTCTCCCTGCAGAATCAGAAATCGCCAGGATGTTTTTTTTTTTTTTACAGATTTGCAGAGTAGAATTTTTAATGCAACTTTGTTAGCTACGGATTTAAAATCTGCATAAGTCAGTGACAGGAGGGTGCCTCCCATGCTGTGAAACTTTTAAAAGGAATTGTATGTCTGTCCTTCACATTTCTTCTGGAAATCATTTGCTACTTTGGAACAATGTTTCACCCTTCTCTTGTTGCTTGATCCTTTTGGAGGGGGGCATGAAAATGAACATGTATTCAACCCACTCAAATATAATCCTTACTAGCCCGTCTATGTTAGACAGCCATTTTCTTCCTTCCTTCCCCTCCCCTTTTCTTTCTTCCTTCTCTGCCTATTATTGGACTGTAACTCCCAGGGGTCCTCCTGATTGATCTTTCTATCTATTATCTATCACTATCTAATCTACATATCTTATCTATCTGGAGAATTGGAAATATGTACGGATTAGGATTTTCTCAAAGAAATCCAAGGAGAAGCGAGCTTGCAAGCAGTGCATTTGGAGCATCCTCCTGCCCTAAAGGGTCTGGTCTAGGGGATGCTGGGAGCTGTCATTTTTGCGCATGCGCTGTATCATCATTTAGCTTTTTGGGGGTTTTAAGTCCTTTCTGCTTTTTTTTGGGGAGGGGTTTATGAGTGATGGTCACTCGTTGGTTTGTTAGGGGTGTAGTGTCCAAATTTCATGTAAATTCATCCAGTGTTTTTTGAGTTATGTTAATCCCACAAACGAACATTACATTTTTATTTATATACTAGCCATCCCCTGCCACGCATTGCTGTGGCCCACATGGAGGTTCTGTATGGGAGGTTTGGCCCAATTCTATCGTTGGTGGGGTTCAGAATGCTCTGCGATTATAGGTGAACTATAAATCCCGGCAACTACAACTCCCAAATGTCAAGATTCTATTTTCCCCAAACTCCAACAGTGTTCACATTTGGGCATATTGAGTTTTCCTGTAGAGTTTAGTCCAGATCCATCATTGTTTGAGTCCACAGTGATCTCTGGATGTAGGTGAACTACAACTCTAAAACCAAAGGACACTGCCCACCAAACCCTTCCAGTATTTTCTGTTGGTCATGGGAGAATTGTGTGCCAAGTTTGGTTTAATTCCATTGTTGGTGGGGTTCAGAATGCTCTTTGATTGTAGGTGAACTATAAATCCCAGCAACTACAACTTCCAAATAACAAAAATCATTTTTTTGAGTGGACATACATTAAGTTCTTAGGTGTCTTGTGTCCAAATTTGGTGTCAATTCATCCAGTGGTTTTTGAGTTCTGTGAATACCGCAAATGAACATTACATTTTTATTTATATAGACTAGCCGTCCCCTGCTAGTTGCTGTGGCCCAGTCTGGTGATCTGGAAAATAAAGTAATTGTTGGTTTCTAATAGATGCAATTTCTTTATGTTTATAGGTAAACAATATTTCTTGTTGTTTCTTTGTCAGTGTTGATGTAGAGATTGTCTGGTTTGCCTACTCTGGAACATGCAACATAGAATTGTCTTTCTTTAGGAGTCCCTTTCAAATCTATGATACTATAACTGTGTGTGTGTGAATCCTATATATCTATCTATATCTATGGCTGGATGGCTCTTTGTCAGGAGGGCTTTGATTACGTATTCTTGCCCTGGTGAAGGGAGTTGGATTGGGTGGCCTTAAGTATTTTCTGTTGGTCATGGGGGTTTTGTGTGGGAAGTGTGTCCAATTCTGTCGTTGGTGGGGTTCAGCATGCTCTTTGATTGTTGGTGAAGTATAAATCCCAGTAACTAAAACTTCCAAATGTAAAGGTGTATTTTCCTCAAACTCCATCCGTGTTCATATTTGGGCATATGGAATATTCATGCCAAGTTTGGTCCAGATCCATTATTGTTTGAGTCCACAGTGCTCTCTGGATGTAGGTGAACTACAACTCTCAAACTCAAGGTCAATGCCCATCACACCCTTCTAGTGTTTCTATTGGTCATGGGAGTCCTGTGTTCCACGTTTGGTTCAATTCCATCATTGGTGGAGTTCAGAATGCTCTTTGATTGTAGGTGAACTATAAATCCCAGCAACTGCAACTCCCAAATGACAAAATCAAATTTTTTTAGTGAAGCACATACATTGGGTTGTTAGGTGTCTTATGTTCAAATTTGGTGTCAATTCCCCCAGTGGTTTTTGAGTTCTGTTAATCCCACAAACGAACATTACATTTTTATTTATATAGAGATACACACACAGACATATACACATACACGCACACACATGCACATATACATACATACACACATATAAATATGCATATATACACATGCATGCACATGCATACATACACACATGCATGCATGATTTGGATAGCATAGAGAAGGATCACAAACCCCTGTGGTGTTTATTTTGCTGTCACCTTTTCACCATGATCACTCTTTCAGGAGTGAATTTTCCTTCTGAGGAGTAGATCACTTCCTGTTGTATCACCCCCCACTCTTAACTAGGAGTCATCTGTATATTGGGTGCTTGTAACTTAGGAATTGCTTGAATATAGTTTCAAGCAGATACTGTGCCCTGTTCTATCACAGCCTAGGTTATGATGACAACTACTTGCAGATACACTGAGTTCTGTACTCAGGGACAACTGGTATGTAACCCAGTATAAACTATAGGGACCCAAAACTCTGGAAGACTCATCAGAATCCTGGCATTTTTGTTTATAAAGTAAAGCCCCATTTTTATTTTCATTTTAAAAAATCTGTACAGGGTAGGAAGAGACAGTACCAGCCACACTCATAATAGACTTATCTGCCAAGCATTTGGTAACTGCTGAAATAGTTTCAAATGCTGTGTGGTCCGGTTGCAAATGGGATTTCAGCCCTCTCTTTCTGCACTCAGGCCCCATCTACACTGCCATATAATGCAGTATGAAACTGTGTTATATCACTCTACACTGACCATATATTATTATTATTATTATTATTATTATTATTATTATTATTATTATTATTATTTTATTTGTACCCCGCTAGCATCTCCCAAGGGATTCGATGCGGCTTACAAACATGCTAAAGAAGTTGGAAAATCTTGGGGGAGTTCTGAGCCATCAACAGTTTCTCAGGAGCTCAGCATCCCCATAAGAGACTCCCCTCTTGTGATACTCGAGAAAGACTTTATATATGCTGGCCTCACCATACTGACCAATCTTGATCGTGCCTGGCAGTAGAGAGCACTTTTATGTATTACTTTTTGGGACTAACTGACCACCCTATCTTGAAAGCCTGAAAAAAATATTTTTCATGAGTCGTTAAAAGTATTTTCTGTTTTAGAAAAATGTAGATTTTGTACAGAAAATGCCTCAAACTATAGCATTTTTAGCATAGGATACATTTTCTGTGTAAAAAAATAGAATGTCTAATTTTTTTAGCTGTTTTAAAAGAATATGTTTCATTCAAAGTACTTTTTTAACTCAATTGCAAATTGCATATTGTGTGAGGGAGGGAGGATTGAAGGAGGACTCTGTATCATTATCCACATTATTTATAAATTGCTTTTTCTCCCTTAAAAGAGAGACAAAACAGTGAACAGTACTAAAAAAAATACAATTTTAGTCTCACACATCTTTCTTTTAAAGGTGAAACAGGTGTTCATGGATGGACGCAGAATTACTATTTACCCCAATGGCACAAAAATGGAGATTGGTAGTGATAAAAGAACAACTGTTGTTACTTTCTACAATGGCGATATTAAGAAGATTTTGCCAGATCAGAGAGTGGTGGGTTTTTTGTCTGTTTGTCCTCTTTGCTTGGAACATTTAACTGTTCTTACAATGTTTAAATTAGTTTGTGAATAGCATAATTTGGGACAAAGTTATAAAGGTATATATTTAGCTGTGCTTTGATCTGAGCTAAACCGTATGTCAAACAGGTCAGCCTCTTTACTCAAAATGGCTGAATAATCTAACAGTGGAAATGTTTAATTTTCTGAATTTGCCTAACTTCTGTTAAACATGGGAAGAAGAAAAGACTCTTACACCCCTGACATTTTAACATCCTCACCACCTATACATATGTCAGGTACATAAATATACAGTATGACCCCCCCCCCCCCCCGCAGATCCATGGGAGCCATATGTGTGCTTTCATTTATCAGCCATGTCTTCTCTAGGCATTTTTAGGTCCTCCAGCATGGACCTATAATATTCTTGGACGTGTTGTCCTTCATGTCAGTCAAGATTGCTATTATCTTCCTCCTCATTCTCTTCTGGCACAAGGAAATGATGCATCATTGGAGCCACCCCTCCCAGGAAAGCCAAGGAGGTTTTGTTTTTGTTTTTGTTTGTTTTTTTTTTGGGGGGGGGGGACTTAAACATGTACTTAAATGTGTTTTTTTTTAAGTCTAGTGTGGAAGCACCCTCAGTCTTTCTCCACTTCTTCTCATTCCAGGCTTCTCTTTCTACCTTCAGAGGATGCAAACAGACTGGCAGTTGGTTCTCAGTTAACTTTCTAATCTACAGTAAAATCCCCATAATACATAGTACTTTTAGTTCTGTAAACAATGGTCAGTCCACCTCTATGCATGCTGCCGAATCTTTTGCTCTGCTGAAATGCTTGCAGTTAATCAAGAAGCAAAGCAGAAATGATTTTTCCAATGGTGCCCAATTAAGCCTTTTCCTCTCAGTGATTTGGGGATGGTTAGTAGCAAAACTGGATACTTTTGAGTAGATGGGCAGGTTTTAGTCATGTTGCCTTCAACCAGAGGTGCCCGAATTCACATGTTGTCCATTCTTGCTCTAAACAATAAAGACATTTTATTCAAAAATGAAATCTTTGATATGGTCAAGGATTTTTGCAGCTCCAATACTGAATGCTGCAGCAATGCAGAACTGTTGAGGGATATACAGAGCCCTATGTGTGAGGAATGGCAGAAGTGTGGCAAGGGGTAAAGGAATGATAGTGGAATTTTATGGTGGCGTTGATATCTATTGCAAGATTCAAGTGATGTTCTGGTAGAAGAGTGAAATATATTTTTGAAGATATGCCAAACAAGGGTCTTTTTAACAGTGTTGCAAAAAGTGGAATGGTCAAGCATTCTGCTTTGAAGCCATGTGCTAAATAACTGCACTGAAAACACTATAGTTATCTTTCCACTCCCATTACATTAGCATTTTGATTTGGAATGTCTTCTGATGTGTATTTTTAAAGTGCTAGCTTTGACCGCTTCTCTCCATATCCCTTCCAAATCTGTCAGAAATTGATACCTGTGTCAGTCAATTGTGAAGCCTACTCAGGACAACCATGTAAAAGGTTCTGACTTAAAGGGAAACATCTTACAGCTGTTTGCATGATGTGACTAAGATATGTAGAGAAAACAGTAGATAACTGAAACCCCCTCCTGTTCTTCTTGCAGGTTTATTATTATGCAGATGCACAAACAACCAGAACCATTTTCCCAAGTGGCTTGGAGATACTGCAGTTTCCTAATAAACAGATTGGTAGGTGCACTTTTGGGGCTTCCTTGATTATTGAGAGGTTTTCAATACAGCAATAAGGGACAGTTGTAATTCATGATGCACAGGGTCAACTGCATCAAAAAAGGACTGAGCACTAGGCTTTGAAATGAACAACAAAATATCACATGCAAAAAGAATGTTTTTAAATTCTAAGCTGACATGCACAAATCTTTTGATCCTGAAAATTTGTCTAATTCTGCATGCTAAGGTTTCCAAGTACTGGGTTTTAAATGAGACAATAAACATCCCTGCCATTTCAATGTAAAAAAGAAGAATGAGGAGGGAAAATGCCATTGATCATAAGCCATGTTCCTGTTTTCTCAGGGCCCATCCAGACAGACCCATATCCGAGACCTGTCTTGGTTTTACAGGAACCGTCCAAATAGAATAAATTCAGAACAAACTGAATAAATTGGTTTGTTCAGAATACATTAAATACCTCATAAGATTAGCATCTTAAGGTAAGTTCCAGGTCTTACCAGGTGTGGGTCCTGTGGGGATTTAGACCCGTGGACCATGTCACACGATTCCTGGGCCCAATTCACACAGCCATCTTTGTTTTTCAGAAAGGAAAGACAAAGATGGCATCCACCCTCTCCCCCAAGCCACAAATTTACCCCTAAAAGTAAAGTGAAAAGTGCCTGGCCACAATAAGTTCCCTCCTTGTGCTCTCCTGTTGTGAGAAAAAAGACATGCCTGAAGATGGGGTGGGGGGTGAGGAGGGATTTTCTTCCTCGTCCCTCCCCTGGTGCATCATTTCTTCACACCAGGAAAGCATGAGGAGGGAACTTATGGTGACTAGGTACTTTTTATTTAACTTTGAGGGGTAAATGGGGGGGGGGGGGCTTCGGGGTGACCGCATGCCATCCCAATTTTAATCAGGATGACATGTATCCACACACACCCCTGCCCCAGAATGGGTGTTTTTGGAAGCATTCGGACTTCAATCCATGCCAAAGTGAGTTTTTTTAAAACAAAATTTATTCCTGACTGGAAGCACCCTCAGGCTAAAGATCTAAGGTTACAATCCTTAAGAGGTTTTGTTATCTAAAGATTTATCCTGTTAATTTTATATAAGATAATGTCATACTCCAACAAGACAGAGGTCTTAAAGTTGAAACCAAGCTGAAAGCAACTAAGCCTATAAAAACAGGGTTTGGCCCAGATAATAAATATTGAATTAAGGTCTCTGATAAGTTTGTTATTTTAAAATTATACCAATTGTGTCCAAAGCTTATACAAGATGCTTCCTGAGTCTGATAGCTGATTGAGTGAATATTGAAATTAGTCTCTTGAATAAAGAAAGGAAAAATATTTAAACAGTGAAGCAGAAATAAACAGTGAAGGCAACACAACAAAGCAAAACATGATCCAAATAGAAAATACCATTTTAGAATCGTAATTTCTGACAAGTTTGTTTTTGAAAAGCTGGAAAAATAGGAAAGATGAAAGAAAGCAACTGATGATGCTTTCATCCCAACTGGAAGTTGGATATCTTTATGATAGTAAGAGTCCTATCAACATTTGGAGGAGTTGTTGCCCACCTCTACTCAGCTAAAATATTTCCTGTGATAGTGATCAAATGAAATAATCCACATTATCTGCTTTGAATTGGATTATATGAGTCTATACTGCCATGTAATCCAGTTCAAAGCAGATAATCTGGATTTTATCTGGCAGTGTAGAAGGGACCCCAGAGTGCCTTCTTATAAAAGAATCTGCCACCTTCAAACATCTCTACATCTTGACAAGAAACTCCTGTGATAACTTTTGAGTTAGTCACAAAAAAAACAAAAACAAATTCAATGTGGTTTAATTAATATAACCTGAAACCAACTATTTCTGTATTGGAGAGTAGTGCAGAGTCAGATATAATTTATTTATTAACTTGAAACAGTAAATAACACAATAATTTCAATTTATCTGTTTTGATAACCTGGATTATATGGCATTGTAGAAGAGGCCTAGGAGAAAAAGCAGGCAGCCTGTTTGTAGCCTATTAAACATAATAATTGTTTTATGTGTGTGTGTTTTCTATATATCATTTTCTCATTGAGAAGTCATGGCCAGCCAGTTTTCTATGGAGATGTATGTTCTTCATTTTCAAGCTGTTTTACACTTGTGGGAACTCTATGGATGAGACATTTCCACAAATTCAATCCTCAATTGCCCTACTTGAGTCTTGCAAAGTCAGGGCCATGGCTTCTTTGACTCAATCAATCCATAATTAGTGTCGTCACCCTCTTTTCCTTATAACTTCCATTAATAAGCATCATTGCATTTTCCAGTGAGTCACATTGCCTTGCGATATGTCAAAATCTAAGTTTAATTAGATTAATTATCTAATTAGATTAATTAGAGAAGTTTAATTATGTTATTTTCTATAGAAAAGTATCACCCTGATGGCACTGAAGAAATTGTATTTCCAGACCAGACAGTGAAACGGCGCTATGATGGGGGTCTTGAGGAAACTGTTTTTCCAGATGGTACTGTTGTTAAGGTAGAGAAGTAAGTAATAAACAGGGACACAAATCAGGCAGAAGGAATTGTTTGAGAAAATGTTGTTTCAGCCTATCATTTACTACAGAGTGGTGAAATAACTTACTGAACTAAAATTTCTGGAATCCCGTGGATAGTTTCGATAATTAATACTCACCAGACTGGAGAATCTGGTAAACTTCTGAAAGGACAATACTGACACAATTGTTTCCTATAGATTTTCCTTTGCCAGGATTCCATTCTAGGGCATAATAGAAACTGAGCTTGCATGAAAGAGGAAATCCTTGATTTACTTATATATAAACATTTTCTTCTCTTTCCCACCATTTTATTGGGAGATCAGTGATCCTACGTGTAAAATCAGGAGTGATTTTGTATGGCCATTTGCTGCTTAACAGAGCTTGTGAAAATTATTTCTGTAGATTATAGTTGCCAGTATTTATTTATTATTCCCCACATTTCTAACCCACCCTTCTCAACCCTCAAGGGGGGGGGGGGGGACTCAGGGCGGCTTACACCGGCAACAATTCGATGCCACAAGATAATACAAATATAAACAAATATAACTACAGTTTAAAACAGTAAATAGAACATTAAGTTAAAAACACATTAAAAACATTATCATCAATCCATATAGCCAATTCCAGTCCGATTCAACATCCAAAGTGCTGTCATGTTTGCTGTCCAAAGGCCTGGTCCCAGAATCACAATTTAACCTTCTTTCTGAAAGAAAAGAGGAAAGATGCCGACCTGATCTCGCTGGGAAGAGAATTCTACAGGTGTGGGGCCACTGCCAAAAATGTCCTGTCCCTCGTCCCCATCAAGAGCAATTGCAAGTAATTGGAGTGAGCAACTTATACAATCTCTCCACATCCAGCATGACTGGGGAGAGACTGCATGTATTAAAGTCCAACAAATTAACTTTCCCAACTCTGCTTCTGAAGCACATGGACTTAGTATGCTTCTATTGTAATGGTCATAGAGACCAACTGCTGTGCATGATTGAAGAAGGGAGGGAGGCAAATCAACAACTATACACGGGCTTATGGGTGCATCTGCACTGTAGAATTAATGCAGTTTGTTGCCCCTATAACCACAATGGCTCAATGCTAAGGAATATTGTTTTTGCTTCTGCCAGAAACAGAACACTAGATTGGATGGGTAGCTGAGATGTTTTACCATTATTGTTTTTCTGATGAAAGTGTGTGCTGTTTAGCTGTCTCATGCCATGAAAATACTCTTGAGGCCACTAGTGATTTGAAGTTTGATATTTTGTTTATTGCTTTGCAGAAGTGGAGTTAAAACCATCCAGTTCTGTAATGGGCAAAAGGAGATTCACACAGCTGTGTCCACAAGAAGAGAGTACCCTGATGGCACTGTAAAGACTTTCTATGCTAACGACCAGCAAGAAACCAAGTATTCTTCTGGGCATGTTCAGATCAAAGACAAAAAGGCAACCGTCCTCCTTGATAAGAAATGAGTCATCCCTCTGGGTGGTTTTTTTTTTTTAGTGTTATGTTGTTTTCTAAATTATTTCTGTGTTGTCTTTTGGGCAAGAATTCATTCAAGATGCAAAAATGTTAACGTATGTATAAAAACATATTTTATTTTCTTATTTTAAATTGACATCTTATCAATAAGACATTTTTAAGAGACAGAGATGTGCTCTGTGAAGTCTGGAAACACTAACCTCAGTTGCCACAATTGTTTGATAAGTTACAATCATCTGTTGAAAGAAACAAAGCAAAAAGGTCACATGACATCCTTGCAGACTCTACTGAATTATCATGAGTGACTGAATTTTTTTACTTTACATTACATCTAGAAACAAACCAGAAATCATTTTACCCTAAAAGGTTAAGAGTAATGTAAGAGCAGCTCACAGCAGAATGTGTTAATGTTGTATTGTTATTATTAAACTGCAGAGGGTCATATTTGGGTCATTTCATAGAATCATAGAATTATAGAGTTGGAAGAGACCTCATGGGCCATCCAGTCCAACCCCCTGCCAAGAAGCAGGAAAATTGCATTCAAAGCACCCCCGACAGATGGCCATCCAGTTTCTGTTTAAAAGGCTCCAAAGAAGGAGCCTCCACCACACTCTGGGGCAGAGAGTTCCACTGCTGAACAGCTCTTAAAGTCAGAAAGTTATTCCTAATGTTCTGGTGACTGGAGTTTTCATTGCAACATATCTCAGTTTCCATGGCGGAACTTATTACAACACTCTCAAACTACTCACAGTCAGGAAGTTCTCCCTAATGTTCAGATGGAATCTCCTTTCTTGTAGTTTGAAGCCATTGTTCCATGTCCTAGTCTCTAGGGCAGCCGAAAACAAGCTTGATCCCTCCTCCCTATGACTTTCTCTCACATATTTGTACATAACTATCATGTCTCCTCTCAGCCTTCTCTTCTTCAGGCTAAGCATGCCCAATGCTTTAAGCCGCTCCTCATAGGGCTTGTTTGCTCCCTATGATTTCCCTCTGTACATTTTCATTCATTGGTCCCTCATTAATTGAATAGGAAATATTAATATTGAAAAAGAAATTTATGATTTTCAGTTTGTTAGGTTTCAGCAAAAATTATGTGAAATGTTTGCTTACTCCAAGATTATGGTGGGATTTGAAAAGTGTTCACACTCAAATGGAGTACAGCCTGAAAATCTGCTGTTGTTTTTTACTTTCCTGAATGCCATTCTCTCCTTTATTTGCCTTCTCTTCATTTTCTTGATGAGCTAACACAGCACATTGGGAGTGATCAATGCAATAGGTTATAATAGGTTATCAATGCAATTATCTTTTCAGCTGTTAAATCATGATCTTAAGAATTAATATCTATCTATAACTGAGATGCTTCCATGGAATTGAAGTTGGAAATAACTAAATGTGCATTTTGACATGTGTCTTTCAAAAAGTGTCAGTAATGGACTAGACTTTGTACATAGATGTAATTGTTTGTTTCTACTATTTGCTGATTTAAGTGCACTGATGTAAATAAATATGATGTGTTTACAGTTGTTCATTGAGTTATATTTCTGCCATGTGGTTTTTATTTATTTATTTATTATTATTATTTCTGCCATGTGGTTAAGGTATAATACATAAATGGGCCCTAGAATAACTTAAGCCTCAAATATTATTAAAAGTTAAAATGATTCAATTGATTTTACTGTAATTTGAAGATATCATGAAAAGACAGGTCTCTTTCAAAAAGTAAACAAGACTAGGAAAAGATGGAGGGCACATTATATTGATTTAATAAAGCCATAGCAATACCTAAGCAAATTATAGAATATTTTTAGAACGGTGTCTTTCATTCATAGGGTTACCATAAATTGAAGCCAGCATCATAGGATATATCTCTGAATTTCCCCCCTCCCCTTTTTGTTGGAGCTGCAACTGGGGAGGTATTGCTCCCGCCAGCATCCCTTTCTGCTTCAAACATTGCGGAGGGATCAGCACTTTGCTTTCTTCCCTATGAAGCTGGAGAGCTTAGTCTATTCTGAGTTACCCCATCCTATGTAGGATGAGGCAGCCTAGTCCAGGAAGTTGCTGCTAGGAGAGAGAAACAAGATGCTAAGAGGAGAGAATTCTGTGTGTCCTGGGGGCTGCCAGGGACCACCCTGTTGTCTTCAGATTTGTATTGCCGAAGGCTTTCATGGCCGGAATCACTGGGTTGTTGTAGGTTTGTTCGGGCTATATGGCCATGTTCTAGAGGCATTCTTTCCTGCAGGTGAAACGTCAGGAGAGAATGCCTCTAGAACATGGCCATATAGCCCGAAAAAACATACAACAACCCAATATCCAGACTATTTGACTTGAAGAAATATCTCTTTGACTTAGGTAGGATTCTGTAGTCTTCTAAACTACAGGTCTCTTTCAAAAGTAGTTTTGAATAGCTGGTAGTATTTAAAACAAAACGCACCCAGCACATATGACATATTAAACACTTACAGTAAGATGCATTGAATATCATTGTGTCTCAACTAATTAAAAAGTGAAGGTTTGTTTATAAGGAGGTCTTTGCCTGCAGGTGAAAAGAAAACAGAGAGAGGTCTCACCAAGTTTTCTGTTTGCTTGTACTTAAGTCTCAAAACAGCCACTGAAAAGGCTCTTTCCTTACTGGACAAGCCTGTGAGGGTAGTGGAACAGAGAGAAATTTGGAACAGAGAGAAATTTGGTCCCAGTGTGCACTTGGAGCCATCTAGGTGGAAAGCCAGTAGCTATGCTGCCTGGGAGATTCTTGGAATTGTAGGCCAAAAAAGACTTAACATCTGAGGAATTGGAACTGTTTGACAAAACTTGGGCTGCTTCTGTAGTTGTGTGATCTGTGTGCCTAGGATTGGGTAGTACCTCTGCCCCACCTTCTGTCAACCCCAGCTTCTGCCAACCTAGCCATTTGAAAACATACAAATGTAAGTAGATCAATAGGTACTGCTCCGGTGGGAAGGTAACGGTGTTCCATGCAGTCATGCTGGCCATATGACCTTGAAGGTGTATATGGACAACACTGGCTCTTTGGGTTAGAAATGGAGATGAGCACCAACCCCCAGAGTCAGACACGACTGGACTTAAGGTCAGGGGAAAACCTTTACTTTTACCTTTACCACCCCACCATTCCTAGGCATACCCTCCAACTATCTTGATGTGCCAGGGATGATCCTAATTAAATATTGTTATTCCATTTGTTCAGAGGCTTTTAAAATGTTCCAGTTTCTCTCCCCTCCTCTCACTGTCCCCCTTCATTCCTGTCTTATTTCAAGTTCAATTCAAAGTGTAAAAGGACTTTGCATTCAGTTTAAACAGCAGACTGGTGAGGAGGCAGTGGAATGTTGTCCTTCCCAATAGAATTGGGCAAATGCAAAGTGGTCTAGCCTTTCCTGTCTTGTATGCTCTTCCTCCTTAATAACTTTTGCCATCTTACCCAGAGTCTTAAGGTTGTTTGGAGACATATGCCCTGGTTTTCACATATTCGAAATGTTGAAGTATTTACAATAGATGCATTAAAAAAACCTCTCTAGTGTGCAATTACTCATATTTTTACCCACATTAACTGAATTCATTTGCTGGACTCTGGTGGCATAAATGCAATATTTTTTAACATTCCATGG